ACGACAATTCATAAACCGGGCAAAGACCCCCATCTTGTACAAAACTATAGACCTATATCCCTTATAAACATGGATGTGAAACTATATGCCAGATTAATAGCCTGTAGACTGCTTCTCTACATTCTGTCCTTGATCCATCCAGATCAAGTAGGATTTATACAGGGCTTCTAGGCCCCGGATGCCACTAGGTACATACTCTTGTTGATTTAGAGTTTACAAGACCAACGAACGCCCTCTCTGCTCCTCTCCTTGAACACAGAAAAGGCGTTCGACCGCATTCACTGTGGTTTTATGCAAGCAGTTCTACAACAATTTGGTATCACAGGTTGGATACAAACAGCTATTATGTCATTATACTCCTCCCCCTCAGTCAGTCCTTACTGATGGTATGTTTTCCAAAACATTTGACATTACAAATGGTACCCGGCAAGGCTGCCCCCTATCTCCTATTATATTTGCACTACTTATTGAGCCCCTTTGCCTCTAGACTTCGAGAGGAAGTGCTATTCACTGGTATTAAATACCAAGATGTCAAGCATAAAATCAGTCTATTTGCAGATGACATCATCTTAATGATCACTAACCCCTCCCAATCACTCCCCATAGTTCGGGGGATTCTTGCCTCCTATGCAGAAGTCTCTTACTATAAATTAAACAAAAATAAATCCTTGATACTGAACTTACCCACATCCTTGAAAACTCCAACAACTTCTCAGTAAAGAATTCACATTTATATGGGATAACCAATCAATCCCTTATTTCGAAATTTATCTGACCGCTTCAACCACTCAACTTTTTAATTTCAATCATAAACCATTCCTCCATTCCCTACCAAAAGGAGCTCCACTCTCTCAGATCTTACGGACTATCTAACTTGGGTCGTATCCCAGCTCTGAAAATGTTCCTCCTACCCAAATTGCTTTACATTTTTAGGACCCTTCCTATACCAGTCCCCTCCAACTGCTTCCAAAATATATAGAGACAATTTCTCTGGGCATCTAAACGTACTAGATGTGCCACTGATCTACTAATTTGCCTGTATCACAGAGGAGGGTCAGGCCTCCAGCATCTACATTTATACTATTTAGCCGCACTTCTTGACCAGATCTATTGCTGGTGGCACCCAACAATGGAAAAAATTTGGTCCACTATGGAATACCAAATATTCCACCCTATCCTACCACAGAACCACCTTATCTTACGCTCTATAGATAGCAAATGCCCATCCATCAACGATCCGTGTATCAAGGCTTCTTTGGAGGCCTGGGCTACTCTTTTATAACTCCCATTTCCAACCTCCAGGTCGATACCGACTCCCATTAATGTCATATATTCTCTAACTCCCTACATTAATCTAACCATGTGGGAAACCTGTGGTATCCATTCACTACTAGACCTATATATAGACAACAAACTAGCCCCTTTCCAATACCTCCAAAGCAAATTTTCATTACCCCCTTCCAAACGCTTTAATCATCTAAGGATTATCCATTGCATAAAATCTAAAAACATTCCCCCTACAACTACTCTTCCGACCCCAGTGTTCCAGTACTATAACAAATCTAGATATTCTGGCAGAGGAATTTCCGTGTTCTACTCCCACATTATTGAGTTAAAATTTACCCTGAGAACGACATCTCTAAGAAACTGGGAATTGATAATGTCCCAAACACTCCCAGACCAGTCTTGGTGCTAGGCCTTCACACTAACTTGCAAATCCTCCCACTGCGCCTCACATTGGGAATCATACCTAAAATTATTGCATCAATGTTACTTAACCCCGGTCAGATTGTCAAAAATATATCCCACCTGCTCTCCACAATGCTAGCGGCAATGTGGAGAAATAGGTTCCCTTTTACACATAATATGGTCTTGTAAGTCCATCAGATCCTTCTGGAATGGTGTTTTTAACATGATTTCCAAAGTAACAGGAAGCATAGTAAGTCCTGACCCCGCATTAGCACTGTTCCATATTGGTCTAGAAAAATTTCCCCCCAGCTTGCGCACTGTCATCATTCATATTCTAAATGCAGCTAAAAATAACATCATTAGATGTGGAAATCGCTATCATCACCATCTATAGCTAGAGTGATTAGCGATTTAAACATCTAATGTGATATGGAGAAGATGTTTGCCCTCAACTACCTCTCCTATACAAAATTCACCAGATCGTGGTCCCTATGGTCACACAATCCTAAATGTATGGTTCAAATTTGATAGGTCATACAATATGGAGTATATAAATTTACTTTGACTGGTATATGGTTTAATCTGTTAGTTTATATGATTGTTCCTACCTCTTTTTTCCTTCCCCCTTCCTTGTCTTTGTCCTTCCCCCTACTCTCCTTAGGGTTCTCGGTTGTACATTGTTCTGTAAGTATTGCCGCCCACATATCTTAACCTACTTTTTATGGTCGTTATTTTCCATTGTAAGCGGGAATTGATATACAAATATAATAACCGCCTGTATGACTGTGACTACTTATCAAGGTCTCATGTTCTTTTTCCTGTAACTATAATTGATAACATTTCAATAAAAAGTATTTGAATATAAAGACAAAAGAGTGTGGACAGAAAAGACTTTAATGAAAAATGTGAAAAAACGGGGTAAAAATTGGCTATAACCCATATAAGAGGATAAAAAACTGTAAAAGGAGATGAAGAAGGGGGAGGGATAAGTCTATACGCAGGATGTTGATACACAGCAACAGAGTACCCCATGTACATGGATAAGAAATGGTGCTCATGTGTCATGCACAAATAACGCCTGAGCAACCCTGATGCAATAAGAAAAATGCAAAATAAAAAAAAATTGTAAAACTACAAAAGTGGATGTATGATGGACAAGCATAAAAGTGGAAATGTATAAATGATGGTAAATAAAATGGATAAATAAATTGTTGCACAACAAATAAAAGCTATAGTGTGCTACAGGTAAGCATCATCTAGAAACAAGTATATATGAAAATAGAAGGGGAAAATCAATGAACACGTTGAAAATGTTTTGGGGAGCACCACCGCCTCATTGAGGACAGCATAGATAAACATAGAGTCCCTAGACATTTGCTAGAATGACATGGCAAATCCACTGAAGGTGTCTATAACCCTTCTTATTAACGCTATTTTGGAGTTACTGCACTTAGAAGCACCTTCTTGTCTCATCTCTTCTCCACTCAGAATTTGATTCATACTCTCAGAAGTGCTGCCCAGTGCATGTTTTCATTCAGCAACCCACTACTGGCTGTCATATCCTCCTCCACAGATGCGCCCTGTGAATATTTCCTTTTACATCCAAATTGTAGGAATGGTTTAGGAATTTACAGCTCTTAAGGGTAGCCATCCCCTCTTTTTCAAGGGACCAAAAGCAATTGGACAATTGATTCAAAAGCTGTTTCCTGGCAAGGTGTGGGCTGCTCCTTCATTATTTCTTCATCAATTAAGCAGGTAAAAGGTCTGGAGTTGATTCTAAGTGTGGTATTTACATTTGGGATCTATTGCTGTGAACCTATGTCATGAGTTCAAAGAAGCTCTCCATGCAAGTAAAAAAGGCCATTGTAAGGCTTCAAAAATAAAACAAATCCTTTAGAGATAATAGCAACATTAGGAGTGGCCAAATCAACAGTTTGGTACATTCTGAGGAAAGAAAAAAGCACTGGTAAGCTCTGCAACATAAAAAGACATGGACGACCATGGAAGACAAGACAAGATGATCACAGGATCCTCTCTATGGTAAAGAAAACCCCAATCACAACATCCAGACAAGTGAAGGACTCTCTCCAGGAGGTGGGTGTATCATTGTCAAAGTCTACAATCAAGAGAAGACTTCATGAGAGCAAATACAGAGGGTTCACAACAAGGTGCAAACAATTCATAAGCCTGAAGAATAGAAAAGCCAGATTAGACTTTGCCAAAAAAACATCTAAAAAAAGCCAGACCAGTTCTGGAAAAGCATTCTTTGCATGGATGAAACTAAGATTAATCTACCAGAATGAAGGAAAGAAAAAAGTGTGGAGCAGCCTTGAAACAGCTCATTAGCCAAAGCAAACAACGTAATCTGTAAAACATGGTGAAGGCAGTGTGATGGCATGGGCATGCATGTCTTCCAGTGGCACTGGGCCATTGGTGTTTATTGATGATGTGACAGAAGCAGCCGGATGAATTCTGCAGTGTTTAGAAATATACTGTCAGCCCAGATTCAGCCAAATGAAGCAAAGTTGATTGGACGGCGCTTCACAGTACAGATGGACAGTGATCCAAAACACACTGCAAAAGCAACCCAGGAGCGTTTGAAGGAAAAGAAGTGGAATATTCTGCAATGGCCAAATCAATCACCTGATCTCAACCCAATTGAGCATTCATTTCACTTGTTGAAGGCAAACCTAAAGGCAGAAAGGCCCACAAACAAAGAACAACTGAAGACAGCTGTAGCTAGAGCTTGGCAAAGCATCAGAAAGGAGGAAACCCAGTCTTTGATAATGTCCATGGGTTCCAGACTTCAGGCAGTCATTGCCAGTAAAGGATTCTCAACCAGATATTAAAAATGAACATTTTATTTATGATTACATTAATTTGTCCAATTACATTTGAGCCCCTGAAAATGGAGGGACTGTGTATAAAAACGGTTGCAGTTCCTAAAATTTGTACTTGATATTTATGTTCAACCCCTTGAATTAACACTGAAAATCTGCACTTCAAATTCATTTGGATTGTTTTGTTTTAATTTATTCTGGGGGTATACAGAGCCAAAAGTATGGAAATTGTGCCTGTGTCCAAATATATATGGACTTAACTGTATGTGCATTTATTTTCTTTTTACAAAAGTGAATTATCATTTATCCTGTAGGCTGTGTAGGATATACCAGCACGTATATAAGAAGATATATTTAGAAATATATGTTTGTTTCTTGGAAAACAGATTTAAAGTTTATTGCATAATTAAATACATTTTAAGCAGCTGATTAATTTAATCATGTTGTCTCTGTATGTTTTTTGCTCTGAAGCCCAGTTAAAAGACATTGCATATGGCACAAAGCAGTTCAAATTCACACCAGAAATAACTAAAGAAGATGATGTGGAAGAATTTGATGAATCTGTACATCTAGAAAGGGGCTACAATCTTCTTGAGATCCACATATCCAAGGTAGCGTTCTCTCCAGTTGTTGTCAACATCTTCGGAGATCAGGAACCTGCCACCTTCTGCACATATGCTTTCTACGACTTTGAGCTTCAAACTACACCCATTATGCGTGGCTTACAGCCATCATATGAGTTCACTTCTCAGTATGTAGTACAAGTAGATGAATTTTTCCTACAGTATATACAAAAGAATACTGTAAGACTGGAAGTTCATTTGGCAATTGGCACCGATTTTAAAACAATAGCTGTGTGTCAGCTAAAGTTGCAGGACATTCTTGAAAAAAACGGACAAATCTTTTCTAGTTCTACATTGATTGGTGAGTACCAATGAGGCCTTTTATTGTAGAAATTGTAGTTTGCTGAGCTTTGGAGAATAATATCTTGTTTTTTTATTGTAGGGATTGACAATGACATCAGTAATTATGGCACATTAGAATATTGGTGCAAGCTCAAAGTGCCTATGGAGCAAGCTATTCGACTTTACAAAGAGCGAGCAAAGGCTTTGGGTTATATTTCCTCAAACCTAAGGGATCCATATCAGGTAATCATTCCCTCTTTAAAAATCAGTGATAATGTCTTACAAAAATTGCAAGCGGTGATTGTAGCCGTATTAGTGCACTTGCGACAGAAACAATTGAGTACTGACGTGATACTTTTTTTATTTGCACTAACATACAATTTTGAGGACAAGCTCTCGGGGTATGTCCCCTTCTACAAGGTCCAAGCAGTACTATTACAAAGTTTTAGCAGAATGTTAGAAGAGATGTGGGGGATGAAAAAAAAAAACAGAAAGAAACACACACAGATGTACACATCAATGGTTAAAAGACCAGGATTAGACTAGAGATAAGACACAGCTAAAGCAAAGACTGGGGGGGGGGGGGGGACAACACTCACAGAGGGAGTCATAAAACTGTTTGATAATGATTGAGGAATCCCATGTCCAAATTAAGTCCGTTATCTCTTGTGTCAAAAAGAATTATCATTTTTAGTTCAAAAGTTTTTCTTTCCTGAATGGATTTGAAATTTCCTTTAAGAACTAATATATTGCGGTCTTCCATATTGTGGTTTGGTTGTGCGAAATGGTGTCCCACAGGTGTGCAAAGGTCATCTTCTTTATGTTCCTTGATGGTATGTCTGTGCAAATTCATCCTTGTTCGCAACTTCTGTGCTTTTTTGCCAACATAAGATCCTTTGCTACATTTTCTGCACTGGATAAGGTACACAACATTACTAGAGGTGCAGCTGTATGATCCGGAGATATTGAAGATCCCTTTTGAGTGTCTGACACTTTTTGATGGATTGATTTGGTTGCACAGTTTGCAGCGTTTTTTTTTTGCAGGGTTTGCTTCCATTATTTGTGACATCTTGATCAGAAGGAAGTTTCCTACTGATTAGTTTATTTCTGAGGTTGGGGGGTTGTCTGAAAGCTAGTATTGGGGTTTGCTGGACAATTTCTTTCAGAGTTCCATCCTCTGTTATGATGGGTTGTAAATCTTTGATTATTTTTCTTATTCCTTCTAGTGCTGGGTTGTATGTGGTTACTAGAGGTACATGGTTGTTTGTTTTTTTCTCTTTGTACTGAAGTAGATTTTCTCTTTGGGTTCTCAAGGCTGTGTTTATGCTGGTGTTGATAGTTTTGTCCTTGTAACCTTTCTTATGGAAGGAGTCTGCTAGTGTCCCGAGGTGTTTATCTCTGTCTCTTGGGTCAGAACATATTCGGTGGTATCTTATGGCCTGATTGTGTATGATGGCACGTTTCGTGTGTTGGGGGTGGAAGCTAGAACTGTGGAGGTAGTTGCATCTGTCAGTGGGTTTCCTGCATATTGAGGTGTGAAGCATATCATCCCTGATGCATACTGTGGTGTCTAGGAAGTTGACGTGTGTGTTTGAGTATTCCATCTTTAGTTTGATTGATGGATGAAAAGTAACTAAAAAAAATCCCAGCGTCAATCAAAGAAAGTATACAATTACGCAGCTGTGCACCAGTGAAAACCACCAATAATAAATAACACAAAAAAACAGCGCAAAAATCAAATACATAAAAATAATCACAAATAAATAAATGTCCGTGCAAAAATATATATATAATATTTCAAACATAAGTCCTTATTTTCCCAAAAGGATTTTCAAAACAATATTTCAAAATGTACTTCCACCTAATCACCACGTGAAAAATAATATTGACCGCACTCACCAGATGGAGGTGAGTAATAAGCCTCTTAGGATATAAGGGATCCTATAGCCCCTCAGGAGGAACTCAAATCGCCTTCACCCTACTTAGATACAGCAATCGACTCCACTCTACTTCTCCATGGAATCCTCAATAGTGTGCAAGGAAAGAAAGGCTACATAGTGTAATACTGCCACTCAATACCATATAAATCAATAGAATAAGGACACTCACATGTTTCAATAAAATAACAGGCCTTGTTTAATAGCCTCAAAGGCTTCAAAGGAACAAGTTTCCAAATTGTAAATATAGGGATCTCACGCTTTAAGGATCACTGTAGAGGATGACCAGCTTTCCACGTCAAAAATGGCTGCTTTAACCGCAAAAGTCGGCGTGCGTTCCAAATACCGGAAGTGACGTAGGCCAAGAAGACAGCAGACCAGAAGTGCATCAATGCATTTCGCGGTGGGAGGAAGTGTTAAGCAATATGAATGGAAGTATTAGTTAGGCCAAAACCACTAGAACCATTCAGAGGACAACATAAGCATAAAGAAAAGGCTTTGCAGGAAAAAATATTTCACAGGTGGGCAGTGGGATACTTTAACTGCTTGGAGGATACTTTCTTTTTCTTTTTTGGATTTTTTCTTAAAAAATGAATTAGTGTGGTTTATATTTGCATATTTTTAAAGCTACATGCTAGTGAATTATAACCATATGTCATTTACGCAAGGCTTTTTTTCTCCCTTAAACCTCTTGAGTCCCAGAGTTTTTTTTTTGTTTTTTTTTTTTTTTTTTAATGTTTTTAATCTGCACATTTTTTTTCCTTTAGGTTTTGTAGACAAACCTAGTATATTCTACATAGTTTGTGTTGTTTTATTGACAGGACTGTAATTAGCAGAAAATTTGGATACATATATTTTTATTTTCGTGGTTCTTATTGAGATTAAATATTTACAAATTTAGAAAAAAAATGCATTTTCCTATAATTTTTTTCCCAACATAATGCTTATGTAATGTGTGCACCCCCAAATATTTACCACAAAATGTAATCCGCACAATCTGAGGAATAAAGTGTTACCACATGTTATCTAATAAACTTAGGGAAATATCATGCTGGATATCTATACTGATATGGACTGGGTAATGTGTTTGGAACATAAGGATGCCCCATCGTTTGATGGAAATGCAAATTATCAACCTACAGAGGACTGAATTCAAAGACAGTAGTTTGTATGGCTCATTCGTGCTTGTATGCATGCCTGACAACGTCGCTGCATGCTCCTAATGAGACGACGGATGGTGTCCTAAGGTATTTCCTCCCAGATCTGGACCAGGGCTTCACTGAGCTCCTGGACAGTCTGAGGTGCAACCTGGCGGCGTCGGATGGACTGAAACATGATATCTCAGAGGTGTTCTATTGGATTTAGGTCAGGCGAGCATGGGGGCCATTCATTGGTATCAATTCCTTCATCCTCCAGGAACTACCTGCATACTCTCGCCACATGAGGCCGGGCATTGTCGTGCACCAGGAGGAACCCAGGACCCACTTCACCAGCGTAGGGTCTGATAATGGATCCAAGGATTTCATCCCGATACCTAATGGCAGTCATGGTGCCATTGTATAGCCTGTAGAGGTCTGTGCGTCCCTCCATAGATATGCCTCCCCAGACCATCACTGGCCCACCACCAAAACGGTCATGCTGAACAATGTTACAGGCAGCACAACGTTCTCCACGGCTTCTCCAGACCCTTTCACATCTGTCACATGTGCTCAGGGTGAGCCTGCTCTCATCTGTGAAAAGCACACGGTGCCAATGGTGGACTGGCCAATTCTGGTGTTCAGTGGCAAATGCCAATCGTGCTCTATGGTGTCGGGCAGTGAGCAGAGGGCCTACTAGAGGACGTCGGGCCCTCAGGCCACCCTCATGAAGTCTGTTTCCGATTGTTTGGTCAAAGACATTCACACCAGTAGCCTGCTGGAGGACATTTTGTAGGGCTCTGGCAGTGCTCATCCTGTTCTTCCTTGCACAAAGGAGCAGACACCGGTCCTGCTGATGGGTTAAGGATCTTCTACAGCCCTGTCCAGCTCTCCTAGAGTAACTGCCTGTCTTCTGGATTCTCCTCCATGCCCTTGAGACTCTGCTGGGAGACACAGTAAACCTGGCAATGGCACATATTGATGTGCCATCCTGGAGGAGTTGGACTACCTGTGCAACCTCTGTAGGGTTCAGGTATCGCCTCATGCTACCAGTAGAGACACTGACCCTAGCCAAATGCAAAACTATTGGAAAACAGTCAGAACAGATGAGTAGGGGAAAAAATTTCAGTGGCCTCCACCTGTAAAACTATTCCTGTTTTGGGGGTTGTCTCATTGTTGCTCATCTAGTGCACCTGTTGTTAATTTCATTAACACCAACGCAGCTGAAACTGATTAACAACCCCTTCTGCTACTTAACTAACCACATCAATATCCCAGGAGTTTAATTGACTTGATGCTATACTTTGATTAAAAAGTGTTCCTTAAATTTTTTTGAGCAGTGTGTGTGTGTGTGTGTTTGTATATATATACTGTATATATATACTGGGCTATTGGTGTTTATTGATGATGTGACAGAAGACAGAAGCAGCCGGATGAATACTGCAGTGTTTAGAGATATACTGTCAGCCCAGATTCAGCCAAATGCAGCAAAGTTGATTGGACGGCGCTTCACAGTACAGTACAGATGGACAGTGATCCAAAACACACTGCAAAAGCAACCCAGGAGCTTTTGAAGGAAAAGAAGTGGAATATTCTGCAATGGCCAAGTTAGTCGCGTGATCTCAACCCACCTGAGCATGCATTTCACTTGCTGAAGGCAATACTTTGGAAAGGAAGAAAGACCCACAAATAAAGAACAACTGAAGACAGATGCAGTTAGTGCCTGGCAAAGCATCAGAAAGGAGGAAACCCAGTCTTTAATAATGTCCATGGGTTTCAGACTTCAGGCATTCATTGCCAGTAAAGGATTCTCAACAAAATATTACAAATTTACATTTTATTTATGATTATATTCATTTGTCCAATTACATTTGAGCCCTTGAAAATTGTGGAACTGTGAATAAAAACGGTTGCAGTTCCTAAAATTTGTACTTGACATACATTTACAGACAGGTCCATAAATATTAGGACATCGACACAATTCTAACTTTTTTGGCTCTATACAACACCACAATAGATTTGAAATGAAACGAACTAGATGTGCTTTAACTGCAGACTGTTAGCTTTAATTTGAGGGTATTTACATCCAAATCAGGTGAACAGTGTAGGAATTACAACAGTTTGCATATGTGCCTCCCACTTGTTAAGGGACCAAAAGTAATGGGACAGA